TTATTCAGCTTTGTACACTGTTATACAACATTTATTCAATATGTATGTAACACATGTGCGTATGTGACTGATATGCTTAATCGACTGCATCTTGCACTTGTGACATAGTAGCCTGGTTTATTTTTGTCCTATTCTTCGAGCCAAGCACACCAATGTTGCTTGCTGAGTAGTTGATGGAGCATGTCGGAAGAACATCATCTTCATAATCAATTAATCACTAATTATCCTGACGTTCAAAATGCGATCTTCAGCAAAGTTGTAGCTAGGAAAATTTTTATCGTAGTAAGATAGCAAACTTTTCCGTAGATTATTACAGTAAAGGGCTAGAACGATTGAGAACAAAAAGTTTCCTTTTCCAATAGTAATTTCCGTATAAACTTCAAGCGGCCAGTGAAGTATGAGTTTGCATTCAAACGAATTCAAATTTTTAGAGAATTATCAGGACTTGATTTGAAAATGATTGAGCTCAGTGAAGAAAACTCAATATTTTGATCCACCCTAGTGGAGGTGTGATATGAATTGAAATTTACTCTGATATTCCTCTTCTGTTTGCAGATGAAATATTTACTGTGCTTTATACCATAACTTTGTTTATTGAAAATGCAACGTATGGACTAACACATATCTCACTGAATGCTTAAAGCCAGTGCTTTGGAAACCCTGCTAGTTACGGTTAGCATTGTTTCACATTGCTCAACGATTTTTACTGTTCTTGCAATAGTATTGGCCTAAATATATTAGTGCGTTATTGTGAAATGGTGGAATTAGCCGGTGAAATTTGTGAAAATATTGCGGTAGGGTAGGGTTTTGCATGATAAAAAATAAAAAAAGGTTATTAATTTCCCAGTGAAAACATTCAAGGGAGACAGTTACAGCGGATCAAATGAACTTATAAATTCTTAGGATAAAGCCCGCCTTGTATACAAGTTGCCAATACTACGCGCTACAGAACGTTTGACATATCTCTTTGATGTGTTAGTAGTCGAACAAGATTTTTATGAATGACGGCGATCGAGATGGGAAATGACAGGTGGGCAGGAACTCACGGTCTCCCAGTGTTGGTGAGTTCTTTGCCGTTAATGTTCACGAAAAGTTCACTATTTTGCCATACAGAAATTCAAAACAAAAAAATTTATCTGCGGATTTGGACAGTTGTTGACCTGTTTCATACTACCGGAAGATGTATGCTGGTCACAAATGCCGTGTCAAACTGATTTCCTATGCAATTAATCGATCTTTGATGTGAATTTCGCTAATAAACACGAAGAGCATTTCTTATAGCAAAACTTGCCATAACAAAATGGGCGGTTCATTTTAGTAAACAAACTAACACTTCTTCCGACTGTGTCACCTCTCTTACTCGCCTAGGACGTCGATACTATAAGTTCCCGATGTGTATAATTGTGTTTACAATTTGCAGGCAGGTACTTACGAGTACGATGGAAATCTAGAGAGAAATCGCGGATAAAGAGGATCAGCTGCATACCAACTCATTAGAGGACGTATTTTGGTGCTCTTCATCAATCCTCGACACCCCTAGAGGCAATAGAACTGGAAACGAGTATGAAAATGATGACGATTTCGAGGATGGTATCAATGTCACTCTTGTGTCGACGTCTGGTAACATTATTACTAAAAATTGTAATAAGGATCAATATCAACTAAAACCCCCTACTCAAAAACATCCAATAAAACGGCTTAACGGTGCTGCAAAGAAAAGGTTTAAGCACCTAATTAATCAAGGCCATAAGCCTGAAGATGCACATGTTCTGGCTGAAAAGCCATTTATAACTCCCTGTCCAGATCCAGCTAAGCGTCGAAGAAATGCAGACTTAAATCGATCAAACAACAGTGATAAGAATCCTCCGAAAAAGTCCATCAACTCATGAAGCGGGGACCAACGGTTTCACTTCCCTTCCGAAGGAAGGCATGATCAGAGATGTTATGCCTCAGAACATCCCAGTGGCACCGACTGAGATTGAACCCAGGCCTGCTGAGGTGAGAGGTAATTACGCTTACCACTACACCACTGGCGCCAAAGATCAGTCTTATTTGCGTCTATTTTGGAAATGAATACGCTATATCGAAACTACGGTCGCATCGCTTATCAAGGGTAAATCCTGATCCAACAAATCTAACCTACTAACAAAATCTCCCTTCTGTAACCTTTAAGAAGACGCAAAAGTAAACATGGTCCCCTGATCAACAAAGGTCATTCTAATATTCCTTCCCTACTCCCACCTGATTGCACGGACGTGGTCGTTGTATATCTTTAAATATGGAGTCACTAAAACTTGTACATTGTGAATTGATGATCACTCCCAGTCTTATTCAGTGAAATCAATGTGCAATTCCACTGATTCTGATCAATCACGGAGTGCAACCATTGATATGTGCAGTTAGTCTAAGCTAAGCTAAGGTAGCCTGTTTCGTCATTTTTTTCCTTGATTTGTTTTCGGTGATCTCGTCCGTACTGAGTACCAATGCTACCGACGCCAGGGAAGCAGATTCCAAACCTTGTATACCATCAACTCGTGGACCTGGGGCACCATCCACTCAGGGACCATCATCTCATGAACTGGGGACCAACGGCCTACTTCGGCGTGATCAGAGTTGTCATGCCTCAGAAAATCCCGTCGGCGCCGACTGGGATTGAACCCAGGCCCTTTGGAGTGAGAGGCAATCACGCTTACCACTACAGCACCGGCACCACTTCTGTTTTGTCATGTCTTTTGTGCCAAATTTATATATATTGGCATGTCCCGAAAATACTTCATTAATTGCATTATATCCATCGATCATCGACTGGATATGCTTTCGGCAACGTGGGGCTTTTTAGGTAGTGATGAAACGTCGCTAGAACTATTCCACAGCGGCTGTATATGAGCAAGTCAAACGCACACTCTTTTGCCTATAGATCTAAAGAAATACTTTAAGTCTCCTCATCCATTAATGTATAAGTTAGGTAAAGGAGTGTGCGTATGGATAGTACTGCCCAAGTAACAATTCAAGCTGAATTGTAAGAACAAAAGTTGATTATTGGTTGATTTAAGGTGTACGAAGCTGATCAACACCAGGTTGAATAGACAGCTGATTAGTAGTGCATGAAGCGCATTGTATCCCCATAATTCAACCTCAATAAATTAGCTAATATAAAGACTGAACAAGACTTATTTAAGCTTAATACGACTCCACACACCAGCAATGCGCTACAAATATTCTGATAGCTTGATAGAATAATATGAATTTATTGCACAATATTGTTAAATGTCGTCAGTGTCATTTGTTGCCTTTTCGACATTTTAGTTATTCTAAATTCACTGCCTACCTACCTGCCTATCCCAAGCCGCACAAAGAGTAGAGACAAGGAAGAAGAGCTTTTTAAGAATAGCTCCACCTAGAAGTGGACTGCGACGACGTCGGAGGTATTAACATTAGTATTTATTCCTGTCTTTTGTCTGTTCACCACTTTATATTGCACTTAACTTTCAGACCGCATTTCAAAATATATAACTGAACTATGGCACTAAAATAGCACCGAAATACATCGCGCACTTGTGTCCACATTGTGTTTACTGCACTTGAAAAGAGAGCAATGTTTTACTGTCACAATTTTTTGTTTACAATTCTGCATTGCTGAATAATACTCTTCCGGTTGCTATTATTCAACTTAATTTTGACGTGCTTCATGTTAATGATCGTACCTTCTACCTCAAATATGCTTATGTAGTCGAGTGGGTAAAGTTGACGCCTGTGAATCAGCGACTGCCGGTTCGAATCCCGAAATGTAAAGGTAATTTTAAGACATATAATAACAATATAAATATTTAAATCCAATTAGTCAGCAACATTCTAAAGCTGTCTCATAAAAAAATTGATATATGATATGAAGCGGTCTTCCATTATATTTTTTTTTAAATAAAAAATGAAGGCTGAACAAGTATTGAAAAGACTGTTGGTTAATGCCTTTGTTAGAGCACCACCCTAACAAGAAAATACTCGTGCACTAGATTTAGCATACAAATGAATTTCCGTCCTCTGTATCATACTACACATTCGATCACTATATACAGTAACTCACATTAGATAAGCTTATCAATGCTTTCGCCTATCGAAGCAGTGATCGATCGGAAAGGCCTTTTGCTAATCCGTTTCACATGTTGATTCTCCCAGCAGGGATCAGATCTTTGTGCTGGACCAACAGATCAGTCGAAATATACACATCAATCCAAACGTACCTATATACACGTCGTCCGCTTCTATCTTGCGATAACCGGGAGAGTGAAATAAATCTTGATTCGTATCGTTTTTGAACCGCGCGTTTTTTCCTATTGCTAACGGAAAGAAGTAGTGTTCGATTGCCACCGATTCTCGCGCCTTTTTCGACCCCGCTTAATAATTTTATGGTCCTTCGAGCCGGATGTGCGCGATTTAATACGGACAATCGCGGACAGTTTTTAGTGAACTATTCTCGCTGTCGGTAAAGGTGAAAATTTGCCTATCGTGTGGCTCTCGAACCTTTCGCCGCGTGTGAAGTGTGGAGAACATTGTTTGTGACCTGTAATAAGAAACGAATAGTGTGCGCAAAGTGAACTGTCGTTTCTGATTGATTGCGCTGAAAATCATTCCGGCTGCAAGTGATAGAAAAGAATTTCTTCGAACATTGTGGAACCTCGTGGCATAAGGCAAGGCTTGGCTTGGGTCTGCATTGTCCTGAGTGGACAAAGGAACCTAATCTTTTGATCGTCGGACAAGGTCATCGGTAGTATTAATTACTATAAGCACGTGAGTACTGCATGCAAATAGGCATTGAGAAAACGTAAGATAAATTTGAGCTTTCTGCGAAGTTAAGAGTGATTCAAAATTGATCGATTTTGCTACACTCGATCGAACGTCACTGCTGCTTTCATCCAAGCTTAGTGTAGGTTGCGTTGTGGGCTATGGTAGTGAGAGATTCGCATTTTTGAACATCTTTTGGGCTTGGCTGGTCGCTGTGGAAGATGGCACCGGGATTGAGGACACTTTGTCACCAAGAGCGGTTCTATTTGGACACGTTGGCCAACGCAAAGCAATTTGTTTCTGGTTACGACGCAGAGCAACATAGACGGCAACTAGCAGGATGGAAGCAACGGATTGATGGCTTGGATGAGAAATTTCATGCCAATCGCCTGGCCATTGAATTATCGTTCGACGATGAAGATGAAGATGAGCAGGAAGAAGATGAAGTTGAGGTTGCAGAAAAGGAAGCGGAGAAGGCTGCCGCTCAAGAAAGCAATTGGCTTATTCGGCAGAAATTCGAACTTGATTACGTTTTGGTGTACAGCTTCTTGGCTAACGAAATTAAAAGGCATGCATCGTGTTCCCAACCTAACCTCAACCAACATCCACCTATTCAGTCGCGGGTCAATCTGCCTAATGTGAAACTGCCAAGTTTTGATGGCACCATTTCGGAATGGATCACTTTTCGCGATTCATTCAAATCGCTTATCGACTCCAATGCTGATTTTTCGCATTTCGATAAATTTTCCTACCTTATGGTGTCTCTGACGAAAGACGCGAGGAAGGTGATCGAAGCTATAGAGCTTACAGCTGCCAATTATCCTGTCGCCTGGCAGCTGCTTGAAAATAGGTTTGAGAATAAGAAGCTTATCTTCAAGACATACATGGACGCTCTATTTTCGATTGAGCCCATGAAACGGGAATCGTATGAATCGTTGACGCGGTTGGTCGACGAGTTCGAGCGAAACCTAAAGATGATTGACAAAATGGGATTCTTAACGGAGAACTGGAGTGTATTTCTGGCTCACATGGTCTGCTGTCGTCTCGATCCCTCAACCCTCAAGCAGTGGGAGTCATTCTATCGTTCAACAGAAGTTCCAGAATACCACGATCTTATGGCCTTTTTGCGTGGTCATTTATCCGTTCTCCAGTCGTTGCCGTCGTCCAAATCGTATTCGTCGGATTCTCACAAACCGGAGCAGCATCGGCCGCTGAAATCGAAGGCCGTCTACGCCGTCACCAGTTCAGCGACCAGCTCGTGTCCGTTTTGCTCGAAGTCCGCCCACTCTCCATTCAAATGCGAATTCTTCCAAGGGTTGTCAGTTAAGCAACGCTTCGATCTTGTGAAGAAAAAGAACTTGTGCATTAATTGTTTATCGCCGGAGCACATGGTTCGCAAATGTTCATCTGGTACATGCCGAGTAGACAAGTGTCACCAAAGGCATCACACTATGCTCCATCAAGCATCGATTGATCATCCATCTACTCCTACTAACCCAAACGCTCCACGTTCATTTCCTGTCCAGCCGGGAAATCCTCCGAATCAGTCCTTCTCGCAAACTCACTCGCCATCGTCGTCGTCATCGTCTGGAAGCCAACAGCCCTCTGTCACTAGCCTTGTGTCCACCAACGTCGTTGGAGCTCCTTCTGTTCCTGCTACTGTGCTGCTGCAGACGGCAATCATCAAGGTGTTCGCTTCGAATGGACAACCCCAGTGGGCCAGAGCCCTGTTAGATCCAGCGTCGCAGTTGAACCTTATCACCGAGAACATCGTCCAAAGGCTGAAGTTGCGCCGCTACCACTGGCATTAGGAGATTGGGGGTGTAGGCAACTCTGTAATCGTTTCGTCCTACGCTGTTCACGTTCAGATGGGGTCTCACTGTACGGACTTCAAGGCTGTTCAATCGTTTCACATCTTGAAAAATATCACCCAAGATCTTCCTACTAGAACTCTTGATACCTCTACATTGCAACTTCCACCAAACGTTGTCCTAGCAGACCCGAAGTTCTTTGTGCCGAGCTCTATCGATATACTCCTCGGCATGGAACTATACTACGACTTGCTGCTAGATGGATTCGCGAAGCTGGGTCCTGAAAAGCCGATCCTCCAAAACACCGTCTTCGGTTGGGTAGCGTCAGGCAAAATAGGTTCCGGACAGTGCGACTCAACTCCAAAGGTAGCCCACGTATGCAGTGACCAGTTTCTTGATTCACTAATCACTCGTTTCTGGGAAGTCGAGTCATGTTGGTCAGCAAGTACCCAGTCTGCGGAGGAAGTCGCATGTGAAGAACATTTTGTCGCAAACACATATCGGGATGATTCGGGACGGTTCGTAGTCACCCTTCCGAAGCATACATCTATTCTGTCCCAACTCGGAGATTCCAAGCAGATTGCCACTAGAAGATTTCTCGCCTTAGAACGTCGTCTCGATGCAAATCCTCCGCTGAAACAAGCCTACACTAACTTTATCGATGAGTATCTTCAGCTGGGTCACATGCGAGAAGTCAACGATTCCACATGTTCACCTGCTGTCCCGTCCTATTACCTACCACATCACGGAGTAGAGAAAGCGGACAGCACAACCACAAAACTATGCGTCGTATTCGACGGCTCCTGTCGGACGGACAGTGGAGTTTCGCTGAACCAGGCACTGATGGTTGGATCAGTTGTCCAGGATGACCTCTTAGCCATACACCTTCGCTTTCGTATGAATCGTATTGCCCTGATTGCAGATATCGAAAAGATGTACCGTCAGCTTCTCATTCATCTTTTGGACTACCCACTCCAGCGTATTCTCTGGCGCAGATCGTTATCAGAACTGATACGCACCTACGAACTCATGACAGTCACCTATGGTACTGCGTCAGCCCCGTTTTTGGCTACTCGATGCCTAAAAGAGCTGTCTAAACAAGGTGCTGAAGATTTTCCACTGGCGTCGCTAACGTTGGCAAAAGATTTTTATGTGGACGATATGCTGACAGGTGTCTACGACGAAGAAGAAGGAGAAGAACTCTGCAAGCAATTACTGGCGCTTCTGAAGTCCGCCGGTTTCAGCCTTCGCAAGTGGGCATCAAATTCAACTGAAGTCCTCCCGAAAATTCCCATTGAACTGCGTGACGAACGATCAGTGTTAGCCCTGGCTTCACCCTCTACTTCGATCAAAACTCTCGGAATCCAATGGCAGCCCTCCTCGGACACGTACAGCTACGCAGTTCCCGAATGGTCAACTCAAATTGTAATTACTCGGCGTGTCGTAGCCTCTGATCTTGCCAAACTGTTTCTTCCTCTTGGATTGCTCGGTCCTGTCGTAGTTCTGGCCAAAATCTTCGTACAATCACTTTGGCAGACTACTACTTCGTGGGACGAACATTCAACAGCAATATTGGCGGGAATGGCGCGACAGCTTAATCGACTTGCCACTGATATCCATCCCACGATGGGCCGCGTTCGCACGAGATCCTGTCCTCGTCGAGTTACACGGATTCTGCGACGCATCTGAACGCGCATACGGTGCCTGCGTCTACTTGCGGACCGTATCTATCGACGGAAGCATCTCCGTCAGACTACTGTGTGCTAAATCGAGAGTGGCACCTAGCGGAAAGTCGAAGAACTCGGTTCTGCTCAAACTGCCGTTGCTAGAGCTCTCATCGGCACTTCTTTTGGCTCATCTGTACGACAAGGTCAGCTTGAGCATAAGCCTGAAGACAAAGCCCTTCTTCTGGACAGACTCCATGATAGTGCTTTGCCAGATTCGTTCACCACCTGCTCGATGGAAGAAGTTCATCGCCAATCGTGTGTCGGAGATCCAGCGTCTTACCGCTGGAGGTATCTGGTCACATGTTCCCGGTTCCGAGAATCCAGCGGACATTATTTCACGTGGTATGAGTCTTGCGGACATGAGAAATACACCTGCCTGGTGGATTGGACCTCAGTGGCTGAATCAACCATCTCGCTTCTGGCCACCGATCAATCAACCAATTCCTGACAATCTACCAAACATCGCCCAAGCGGAACGTCCGATATCGCTGCCGGTACAAGCAGTACCCCCCAACGAACTCTTTGAACTTCGTTCTTCATTTCCTCGTCTGGTGCGGCTAGTCACCTATCTACGCCGTTTCCAACACAACGTTTCGTACCAGAACCGCAACAACCGAAAAACTGGACATCTCACCACGTTCGAGCTGAATGACACTACACAGTTTCTCGTTCGGATCGCTCAGCAAGAATCATTTGCCCGAGAGTTGTCTGAAATCAGCACCAAAAACCTTTCACCAATTCTGATCAACGGGATCCTGCGTGTGGGTGGACGTCTGCGGCATGCAGCCATTTCGGAAGACAGAAAACACCCAATGATCCTGCCCGCTCGTCACACGCTCACGGAACGAATATTGGTCCACTAGCACGAAAAACATCTCCACGCAGGGCCGCAACTGCTCGTCGCCTGTGTCCGAGAAAAGTTTTGGCCACTTCGTATCCATAACCTTGCACGGAAGGTGGTGCATTCCTGTGTGAATTGCTACCGCTGCAAGCCCAACAACCTCGAGCAGTTAATGGGTGTTCTCCCACCTGAGCGAGTTACGCCAACGCTCACAATTTTAAGACATATAATAACAATATAAATATTTAAATCCAATTAGTCAGCAACATTCTAAAGCAGTCTCATAAAAAAAATTGATATATGATATGAAGCGGTCTTCCATTATATTTTTTTTTAAATAAAAAATGAAGGCTGAACAAGTGTTGAAAAGACTGTTGGTTAATGCCTTTGTTAGAGCACCACCCTAACAAGAAAATACTCGTGCACTAGATTTAGCATACAAATGAATTTCCGTCCTCTGTATCATACTACACATTCGATCACTATATACAGTAACTCACATTAGATAAGCTTATCAATGCTTTCGCCTATCGAAGCAGTGATCGATCGGAAAGGCCTTTTGCTAATCCGTTTCACATGTTGATTCTCCCAGCAGGGATCAGATCTTTGTGCTGGACCAACAGATCAGTCGAAATATACACATCAATCCAAACGTACCTATATACACGTCGTCCGCTTCTATCTTGCGATAACCGGGAGAGTGAAATAAATCTTGATTCGTATCGTTTTTGAACCGCGCGTTTTTTCCTATTGCTAACGGAAAGAAGTAGTGTTCGATTGCCACCGATTCTCGCGCCTTTTTCGACCCCGCTTAATCAGCCTTGAAAAGCTTATAATTAAGATTGCTGTTAAGCTTTGGGCTGATTAAAATCACCAGATTTAGATGTTTAAAAGCTGAACAAAGGTTAAAATGGTCTATGTACAACAATTATTTAAACTAAGCCTGAATTAAAATCGTTGAAAGAACACTTGTTAAGCATTAATGGCCCTTCGGTCATTTTCAACTTCTAAAGCTCGATTCAAAGTAAATCTGGACGCACGTTTTAATACACCACCGCACCCCTGGTGGTTGGAACAAAAAACGTTTGACAGGCATTTGTTGATGTTTCATTGATGAAAAAATTGGTGAAAAGTTTTTCTCGATTTATCGACGCATCCCGAAATTATCGATCATGGAACTTGAGAAAAGAAAATTAATTGCCCACAAACATCTAGAGAACCTTTCGTGGTCTGTGTTAAAATTCCCAAAGTCAACGGTGAGTCTTGTAATCAAACGTTACAAGGATACTCTGAGTGTGGATAGAGCACAGCGCATGTATCATAAAAGTGGCACTAGGGACAAAGAGCTGTGGAGAAAGGTGTTGAGGTACGTGAAAAGCAACCCAGGTGTCTCCATACGTGATTTGGCAAAGAAATAAGATTCCAACTTTTCCACCGTGCGTAACATCCTTTCAAGAGAAAGATATAAGTCTTTTTGTGCCAGTAAACATCCGAATCGCTCTTTGAAACATAATTTAGTGGCCAAAAAGTGAGCACGATTACTATACGATCGAGTTTTTACGAAATTTGATTACTGTATTTTAATGGATGACGAAACATATGTCCAAATGGATTATAAACACATACCATCGGCATCGATCACAAGTAAATTGCGACAGTTCGTTCGAAACGGTGAAATTTAATAACTTGTTATATATCGTTTGAAAGCTGAATAAATACTTTTTTGTTTGACGTTTGGTCAACCGTGTATGTTGTTTAACTCTTGAGTTATGATCACTTGAATGCGTCCAAATTTACTTTGAATCGGGCTATTCAATTTTCACACAGCCGTACTCTAGCGGAACTATCAACCTACCCTCTATTTTTTTAGCCAATAAATTATCACACTAAAGCTTCATGCTGATATAAGATACCATTTTCAACCAACTATAATTGTGATGTCTTAAAATCCATTTCGATAATTGCCGTTGTTATTGTTTTACCAGAACGATTATATTTTTAACGCGTTAAAAAAATATATATATATTTCTTATTGTAAACCTTCATTTAAGTTCTGGAAAACTAAAGGAATTTTATTTAGCCAAATTAGAAGACACCATGTATGAAGTTATAAACAGTATTCATTTATAGAATGTAATTCCAGAAAAAAAGGTTTAATAAATTTAATGTTAAAGCTTGATTGCATTATTTCAGCATATATTAAACGTGCAGCAAAACATGCCGAGGATAGTCAGGATGTAATACCTCTTGCATTGATGCAAAATATTTTTTTTTCTCGATTTGTTTTCCGTGCTGAGCACCAATGCTACCGACGCCAGGGAGGCAGCTCCCACACCTAGACCCTACCTATCGACCCATCAACTCATGAGCCGGGGACCAACGGCTTTACTTCCCTGAGATGTGATCAGAGATGTTATGCCTCAGAACATCCCGGCGGCGCCGACTGGAATTGAATCCAGGCCTGCTAGGGTGAGAGGTAATCACGCTTACCACTACACCATCAGCGCCGCTTCCATTGATGCAAAATAGATAATTTATTGTTTTTTTTTTGTTTTTTTTTGCTTTTGGCGGTGGAGTACGTCTTTCGGCAACATATTGGGGGTGGAATTTTGAATACTTAAATCGACCGCGTTACGAAAAATGGTCAGGATTTTTTCACTTATAACTCTGTCAATAGCGGATAGATTTTAATTCAAAACAAGCCAATCGATTGGAATGTTATCTATGAATCTGCTAAAATGAACACTTTATCAATTTTCAAAAAGTCACTTTTGAAAATTGAACGAATGTGCAACTGTTGCTATAACAATGAACATTATCATCAATTTACTACGAAAAGCGCTTTCCCTAACACAGATTTCAAAATCGAATTCCATCCGGTCTTACCGAACGGTGATTATTCAATCACCGCGTGTGGTGTGTGGTGGTATCCAGTGGTCATCATTAGCAGCAGCAGCAGTGCTTTCGGCGCGTGGCGTTGTAGATTGTTCTCCAATACACGACGAAAAACTGCCCGCAAGCGTGAGCTGCAGCCCACTGAGCGATCCATTCGCCAAAGAAGGAGGAAGAAGTTGCACCGCTACTAATCAGATTTGGCATCTGTGGATTGTGGATTGTGGATCCAGACATAGCGCGTCACCGTTCCAATCAACATACAGCTTAAAAGCTTAGCATTACTAAATCATCACGACAAAACGGTCCTTTTCAGGACCACCTTAAATTTGTTACAGATTATTTTCTTGACATTTCTCGCGTTAACTTTCAAATAGAGCAATCTACATTGAAAGGTTTCCTTCATAGACTTTCTCTTTCGTTAAAATCATCATCGATTGCCTTTTTGATGCAATAAAATTATTCCCGGATTTTCTTAATAAGAGCATAAACGTAGGTACCGTCCGATATGCTCATATTCTGTGATTGATGTGTTTTCCTAACACAGATTTAATTTCCGCATACCAAAATTAATGGGCAGTTCAATCTCTTCAATTTTCTACAATCGTAGTGCAAAGTAAGTGATATTTCAGAAATTGTTTGCAAGTTTATCGATACAGCCATGTCGCAGCATTTGGCTACACTATACAAGGGGGCCTCCCTTAGCTCAGTCGGTAAAGGCACAGCTACAAAGCAAGACCATGCTGGAGGTGGCTGGGTTCAATTCCCGGTCCGGTCTAGGAATTTTTCAGATTGAAAAAATTTCTCGACTTCCCTGGGCATAGAAGTATGATTGGACTTGCCACACAATTATACCAATGCAAAAATGGTACAGGCATCGAAAACTCTCAATTAATAACTGTGGAAGTGCATCTAGAACACTAAGTTGAGAGCACGCAATAAGCTAATATGCGATATGCAATAAGCTTGAAATGCGAAGAAGAAGAAGAAGATACAAGCGCGCAAAGGAACTGCAAGCGGAAAAGCCTCCGAAGAAGCAGCCGAAAACTGATGCTGAAAGAACTCGATGTTACCGAGACAGGATAAGAACGGCTTACTGGTTGGAATGCTGGAGAAGGATCTTCAAGACAAGGTGGAACATTTGACTATATCCCTTTGAAACAAAGAACTACATTGCTTATAACATATTAATTCGCCAAGAACATCAATTGAGGACTACTATGCCATCGCCCTTCACCAGAATGTTTCTAGAATTTGTTCAATGCAGAGTTGTAGCAGGTTGTATTGGCTATTGTGTGGTGCATAAATACTGTAGTGTAACATGTGCTAAACTCGGGCGAAATCATCCAGCGCATCGCCCTGTTCGCCTCTTAGCTAGATGAATATAAATGTGTGAGTGATTTCCGTCCACAGCGACTTAGCACTCGACCAGGCATCGTTGGTACCGCCATAGTCTCTGCACAGTCCACTTGCAGCTTCTGAGACGGTAAGACGTGCTTCCGTGTGATTAGCCCTCGGTGATTCCTTGGTGATTATAGAGTATTCACAGCTATCAAAAGCAACAGCAAACGCATCGAGAAACGTTAATTCTAGTGAGTTATTAACAAAAGGGAAAATCGACGAAGAGAATCGATCATTGCGTTTACGCCCTTATGCATGTTCACTTTCAAACTGAAGAGCTCAAGTAAGAGCTTGTATCCAAGACTCATCCAGGATTGGCTGTACTACAACGACACCGACAGAGCACCTCCAAAACAGAACTCTCAAATTGCTTCCGAATTTCAACTTTTCGAACTTTTTCACTGATATCAAGTTAAGTTCTGAGGCATAAAAATCTCTGGTCACGTTCTTCGGAATGGAAGTAAAGCCATTGGTCCTGGCCCATGTGTGTTGTGAATGGGTGCGATATCCTACGCAAGTGTGGAAGCTGCCTTCCTGCACATTCGATTGCCGTCAATGGATGGCAATCGATGTCCGTCGGTGATTGGCACTGCGGAACAGAGACCGAAAAAAGAAAGGAATATTCCTCTAATTTTCAAGTGCACTCAACACAATGTGGACACAAGCACGCGATTTATTTTGATGGTCATTTGGATGCTATTTTAGTGCCATAATTGAGTAATATTTTTG